GGCTCTAGAATAATCATCATCATCAAGTCAAATCTGTGTGACCTATTTACTGACCAGTAAGCTCCAGGGTTCGTGGCTTATCTAAAAGGGTTTGCTTGTTTAAAAAATAGTTTTCTGAGTCATTCCTGTCATCCATTCTTACTGACAAAGTCAGAGGCTTCTTAAGTCCCAGGCTCTTAGTTAATCACCTACAATCTCTCTCAACTCCATCCTTCTTCCTGTGTGTGTGTGTGTGTGTGTGTGTGTGTGTGTGTCTGTGTGTCCCACAGTGTTGGATGGCTGGCTTTTTATAAAAGGGAAGACTTGGATTTGAATATTCATGCTCCCTCATCTCAGCTTGGCTTCTATGATATTTTTTTAACTTCATCTGTAAAATGCAAACAGTTACGATCATCAGTAGAAATAATGCTTTAAAAGAATTTGGATTACTATTGAGACTCGAATTAGCGTGATTAAATTGTGTGTTACACATGGATGCATGTATACTCACCTATGTGTATGACTTGCATGGATAAATAGGTAGGTGGGTACATTTTTTAAACATAGCTCCTCAAGTTGGCTGCCTAATTTAATGACCACTCAGCCCGCCATTATCATGATCATTTGTAGACACTCACTCCCTCACGGCTGTCCAGTAGACACCAGCTCATAGCTGACACTCCAGTAGGCGCTCAGAGGCCGTCAGTGGCTTAGGTGGGGATGGCTCATCTTTCTCCCGAGGAGCTGTGGTTGCGTTCAGACCACAGAAAGTCACGGCCTTTGGTTAGCAGCTTGGCTCGCTGCACTCTATGCCACCAAAGCTCCCTTCTCTGCAGCTGTTATTGTTGTTGTGTACTGTCCAGTCAGAACCAATCAGAACTGATGCTGTATCATATGAGAGGCAGTCAGATCACACAGGAGGACATTGCCCATCTCTCCCCTATAGAGGGGCTGGTGAATTTGAACCTTGTGCTTTTGGGTTGAAAGTGCAACTCCTTACCACTAAGCCACGAGAGCTCCCTGGGCCATTTACAATAAGACCTAATAAATCACACAGAAGCAAATATGATAGTTCATGAAGAAGATAAAAACCACATGTCTAGACATCTAGACATTGTATTCTGTGTGGTATCACTCCATCCACCGCCCCCCACCCAGTTTCGTTGTTCATCTTCAAGAGTTTACTACTAAAAGGATGTCATGGTTGAATTTTCTTTTCATTTATCTTAACACTCTTGTTTAAAATGGCAAAAAATTTTAATAACTACCCTTTATCTGAGGATTTGGCAAAGCAATCTAAAACCTTGGCAGTCATTCGTTAGTTTTATAACTTTGACCCTGTTCTGTTATTAAAAAATAACTCTATTACTGTGTTAAAAACCTACAGTATAATACCAGGCACAATGTGGGTACTTAGTAAATAAGTGTAATTGCTTTTTCTTAATAGCAGTAAATTTATTTGCGTTAACTTTACCAGACACACCGTATATTCTTTGCAGACTTTATCTCAGTTGCATTAACTGGGTCCATTTTCAGGGACCTCTGTTGATGTGACCTCTAGGGACTTGCACCGCTAACCCAAAAGTAGTACCTCTCAGGTGGTTCAAATCCACCAGCAGCTCCAACGAGAAAGATGGACAGTCTCTTTGTGCGTGATACATCTAGCCTTCTGAAGACCCCTGCAGAGTCAGCAATGACTTGATGGGAGTGAGTTTAAGGGGTGTTTTTGAGTGTCCATTTTACAGATGAGGACGTTAAGTAACTTGGCCTAAAATCAAGCTGGAAAGAGGCAGAAAGAACACTAAGTCATTGTCCTTGTGAAAGGCCATACCTCTAACCGTTGTGAGTCACTGTTTCTTATTTCCTCTTCTCCTCTCCTGACTCTCTTAACTGTAGGCCAAGTGGGCTGGAAGGAAGACTCCTGGTCAGAGGCCAGAGATCTGAGTTAGAGGTCTGGGGCTCTCCACTGCTGGTTGTGTGACCGTCACTCAGCAGCTCCTGTGAGCCCTCTAAGCCGTTTTTCACGTCATCTAGAAAGCAGGGGGCAGGCTCTGTGAGCTTTGAGGTCTTTTCCAGGCTGCAGTTCCTGTAAATTGTAAAAGTATGCATGCAGTCTTCTTTCACTTTATGGTGAATGAATGGTCCAGAAGAGACTTGTTTGTGAAAATCTCAGACAGAAAGTCTTCCGCGCAGAAAAGCTGTTATAAATAGGCCTTCGAAGGGTGGCCAGGAAGCTGAAGGCTGTAATATAGCACTTACAAGTTTTCCTAAATGCTTTTTAGATGATGATTTGTGAAATCTCTGGGGATTTGAGCTGGCATAGCAGCTGCCACGTGCTTTAAGTGTTTGCTCCAGAATGTTTAGAAATAAAAACATAACAACCCCACCCGGGCACTGTGAACACTTCCATTTTTGTTGACTCCATTCTCCTAAGGCAGTTCTAGAAAGATCCAGTAAAATACGCCGCTGTAAATCCTGGGGCATTTAATAGCAGACTTGCACTTCCTAAAGAGACAAGGCATTTTAATCACGTGGATTTATTGACCTGGCACTGAACCTTTAAATGAGATGATTTGTTGTTGCTTTCAGCCTTCAGAGAAAAGGACCAGTGGGGAGGAGTTGAAGAAGCTGTCCTGAGTGTGTGGCAGGAGCTGGATGGGATGTAATTTGCAAATGTTCAGTTTGATTTCTATTCCCTTTTCTCGCTTGCTGTTCCTTTATTTTGCTTTGCGGTGTTTGCAGATTGGAGTTTCCTACCAAGATCTTAAAAGAGTTTGGCAACAGAGCCTCATTACTTATGTTTTAGTGAACTTGCCTTCTCTGGAAATCTGTTTTCCAGTGCGCTTGGCAGGAGAGCTCTAGGCCACCTGCAATGTTAAAGAATGAGTGTGTGGTTACCGTCAAGTCAGTTCCAAGTCATGGTGACCCGGGGTGACAGGATGGCCCTCACAGCCCGCAGGTTGTCCTCACTGTCATCTTCGTGGAAGACACATGTTCAGCTCTTTCTCCTGTGAGGCCACTGGATGGTTTCCAACCAACAGCCAACCTTTCACTCGATGCCATCAGAGCTGCTAAAAAACTGTCTGACACCTTTCGGCGCTACAGCCGCAGCCATGAGTATGTTCAGGCTTCAGAAGAGGCTTGCCTCTAGTGTTCTCCACTGTGGCAAGAAGAAAGTCTGGTTGGACCCCAGCGAGACCAATGAAATTGCCAATGCCAACTCTCGCCAGCAAATCCAGAAACTGATCAAAGATGGCCTGATCATCCGCAAGCCTGTGACTGTCCATTCTCGGGCTCGATGCCGAAAAAATACCTTAGCCCGCAGGAAGGGCCGGCATATGGGCATAGGTAAGCGAAAGGGTGCTGCTAATGCCCGAATGCCCGAAAAGGTGACCTGGATGAGGCGGATGAGGATTTTGCGCCGGCTGCTCAGAAGATACCGAGAGTCTAAGAAGATTGCTCGCCACATGTATCACAGCCTGTACCTGAAAGTAAAGGGGAATGTGTTCAAACACAAGCGAATTCTTATGGAACACATTCACAAGCTGAAGGCAGATAAAGCTCGCAGGAAGCTCCTGGCTGACCAAGCTGAGGCCTGTAGATCTAAGACCAAGGAGGCACGGAAACGACGTGAGGAGCGACTCCAGGCCAAGAAAGAAGAAATCATCAGGACTCTGTCTAAAGAGGAAGAGACCAAGAAATAAAGCTCTTCTCCTCTCTGTACATAGTGGCCTTGGCAGTTATATAGATCATTCAATAAAACAAGCCTTTATCTGCCTGCTTCCAAAAAAAAACAAAAACCAAACTGTCTGACTATACAGGTGAAAACGAGACGCTGCTTTTTCCTTGGAGTTTAGAATCATATGAACGAAACATAAAAGAGTCAGACACTAGCTTGGTTATCATCTCAATGACTGGCCAAGTTGGGCTGGAGCCCAGGACTCAGGTAGCTGGACACCTTGGCCTTCCTGGTCCTTCCCCCAGGGGCTGGACCTTCTGGGTAGCAGCAGATACAGGACATTGTATCACAGGACAGTGAAGGTGTCAGGTGATGGGAGAAAGCCTGGAGATTGGGTCAGCCTTTGAAGAGCTTGTGATGCCAACGTGAAAGACATACCTGTTTATGTTTAAGTCATACATAGAATCTGTACAGTCAGAGCAAGGGCATGTGGTGAGAAGCTGCACTGAAAACCTGAAGACACGTGGTTTGGATGTGCCAGCTGCTCCTTGGAAGAAGGACGGACAGGCTCCCCCGATGCCATTTACTGCTTCTGAAAAGCCAGCAGAGGGGCAGCTCTCGGTTAGTTCTGACTTGATGGCACAAAACAACAACAAGATGCAGTTACAGATTTCTCTAACATGAGTGCCAGGAGGACCCTGCCATGAGACAGTCTTTAAGATATTACCAGAATCTAAGTATCAGAAACTGTCTCCCTGAAACAGTCTAAGACATTACTGGAATCTAAGTATCAGAAACTGTCTCCCTGAAAAAGACCTCATTGCCGTGACGTCCAGTCCTGGCCACCCTCAGGCAGTTTTCTGAGCTCATAGATCTTCACGGAAGCGGACTGCCCATCACTTCCCCTCAGAGCTGCTGGTGGATTCCAGCCGCTGGCCCTTTGCTTGGCAGTGTGATGCCCTACGCACAACGCCACCAGGACTCCCGGGGGAAGGGGGAATGGAGCTGGGATGGCGAGTGAGTTTGAGCCAACATGCAGATGCCAAGTAATGGCAGTGGTGATGACTGCCTCAGCCCTGTCTGTGAAGGGTTTTCAGACCTTGTTGAACTTCTGCCAGCAAATGTTGCCCGGGTCCGTGAGTTATGTCCGTTATGGTAAGAAGGGACAAAGCAAGGCACATGCTAACCATTCCCATCCCCTCCACGGACCGCACACACAGCCCACACACAGGGGGCAAAGCTCGTCCCCTCTGCTCCCTGCGTGCCCCGTTATTAGTTTTGTCTGTAACTAATAGTGAGCCCTTCGATTGCTGGGATTAAAGTTCTCTCCTTTTGTTTCCAGGCCTCAGTACGGCGGCAAGTTCTGCCCAGGGCCCAGCCGCACTTACCAGCTGTGCAGCATTAACCCTTGCGACGAGAACAGCTTGGATTTCCGGGCCCAGCAGTGCGCCGAGTACAACAGCAAGCCCTTCCGGGGCTGGTTCTACAAGTGGAAGCCTTACACGAGAGTGGAAGGTAACTCGGTTCCTGCCTCGTTCAAGGGCATGCTGTGTGTGTGGATAGCATCGATAGTGAGGACACGGGAGAAACCACTGCCCCCACAGCAAAGCCCCAGTGCGTCCTTGTCCTTCCCCACACCTGTCCTGTCCCGGGGACGCAGTGAGCTCCCTCCGTTTTATTTCATTGCTTACACTTATTTTTCTTTTTTTTCACAAGGTACTTCTTGTCCTTCTCCTTCAGCTATAAGCTGAAGGTCCTGTGTTTAGAATGCTTTTCTCAACTTACCTTTAACATCTCTGCTATTTTGTCTCCCAGGGATATTGTTAAGGGTAATTTGTATGAATACTCTAGACCCCAAACTCGTGACATCATGGGTGTGTGTCCCAGTACCACAGAGACACCACACTCGGGACCTGACCTGGCTGGTAGGTTCCAGGCATGGGAAGACCTATTTGTAAACTAAGCACATGTATTACCACCCCCTCCACACACACACACACACACACACACACACACACACACACACACACACGTTGTAGCTGTGTGGTGTTGAGTCCAGATCAACACATAGCTGACCCTTCAGTGGTTTTTCAGAGACTGTAAATAACACAGGAAGGGATTTGCCCATTTTTCTCCCTCAGTACAGCTGGTTGATTTGAATTGATTGCCTTTGGATTGGTAATCTAATTTCTTACCCACTAAACCACCAGGTTCCCATGCATACAAGCTCTTGTTGTTATGTGCCGTCCTGTTGCCTGTGACTCACGGTGACCCTGTGTATAACAGCTCTGAATGCACAAATATCAATTTATTAAATGATAGGTGTCTGTTGCTGAAATAGATTCTGACAATAGATTATAGTTGTGGTTATGTTGATCCAGACTCTTGAACATCCTTGGGTGAAAAAGTTGCTAAGTGAAAATCTGACCACTTAAATGCACCTTGGAAGAAAGGGCTGGCAATCTCCTTCTTACAGTTCAGCCACTGAAAATCCTATCTAACCCTGCTTTCTGACCCACCTAGGGGTCACCACCAGGGTTGTCATTTTCTTTTTTTACATTAATGTGTTCCTGTTCAAGTTAAATTCAGAAATGTTTCATTTAGTTAAAATATGCAAATACAGTACACAGAATCCACTCAATGAGAATGTGTTCTACTAAATGCACGTAAGTTATTTCTACCCAAGATTAGTTTTCTTTATAAAAATGTCAAATGCTCACGTCTGTGCTTGCGACTTACTGAAACTCATCTCTGCTCCCTTGTAAATGGATAAATTAAAGACGCTGGGTGCAGGATGAAAGGAGAGTGAGTTTATTGACAATTCAGGTGAAATACAATCTAAGGCTGCTCTTAAGCGAAGGGTCAAAATGAGTAAATAATGTTGTTATGTACCATTGAGTCTGAACCAACTCATCAGTGGCACTCCAGGGGCTGTTTAGAGGCCATAAGTCACGCTGGAGGAGACTGCCCATCTTTCTCCTACAGAGCAGTTGGTGGATTTGAACCATGTTCCTTTGTTGGCAGTGCAACTCACTGCCCAGTAGGCCACCAAAACTCCACATATCGATGCTGTCAGGTGCCAGAAAGGAAGCTAATGTGCAGGCCTGCCTCATTGTCCTTCATTCTACTTTCTTGCACTTTGCAGCTCATACTCTCCACCTTTCTTCCCCCACACCCCCATAAATTGAAGGACCGTGGCAACCTTGTGTTGATGTAAGGTTGCTGACTCCATTTTTTCCAATAGCATGTGCTCACTCCCTATCTCTGTGTCACATTTTGGTAATCCTTCCAATATTTCAAGGGTTGTTTTTTTTTTATCCTGAAATTGCATACTAATAAACTCCAAGATAGTGTAAAGATGACTTTTATATGCACTAGGAAGCCAAAAAAATTCTTCTGACTCAATTTATTAGGGTGATTTGGAACCAAACCCACACTATCTCCAAGGTATGCTTGTAATTAGAAGCATTATTGTACAAAGTAGGGTCTCCAGATCCTCTGATACAGTCTCTCAGTTTTCCTTTCTGCAGTCCAGAACCTTTTATGAGCATTGCTTCTGCTCCGGGTTGTAGTCATTTATCCCAAACTTTTACAGTCAGACATCAAAGTTCTGAAAACTCTCAGGGGGAACTAGCTAGCGAGGAGCCTTTTCATGTTCTCTAAGTTGGGAAAGATCAGAGAAAGAGAGGGAGACCACCAGCAAGAAGGATTGACACAGTGACTGTAACAGTGGCTTCAAGCATTTGACGGTGAGAATGGGACAGGCCAGGGCAGGGTTCAGATCTGCTGTTCACTGGGCTGCTGTGAATCACGGTCTCCTTGATGTCACCTAACCACAACAAGAAGTAGTAAAGAAAATTTCTGGATGCAAGACAATCACTTACTTCATCTGCACACCCACATCATTTGGACTATAATGATTGGCTCCTTTCACATTTAAGTTTTGACTTTGTCTTTTATTGCAGGATTTTATGAAGCGTATCCATTTACAAACTGTTTGTACATTTGTTGTAAAGCTGTTGTCAGGGATATCATCTCTTATGAAAAACATCATCTGGAATTCTTGGCCAAGGAGAAGTCTTTCTCTATGGGAATTGGCCTAATCATTCCTTTCTGATAACAAGAGTTCTATAAATATAGTATGTATGTGTAATATTTTCTTTTTGCCTACAGTACCAGGAACTTTTCGATGACTTCATGGTCAATGTATTTAAAGCCTGGCTGGCTCAGTGAGTTAAACATTGAGTTACTATTGAAAGGCTCGAATTGGAATCCACTCACCACTCTATGGGAGGAAGATGTGTCTCCTTCTGTAGAGATGGTTGTTGTTGTACGGTCTCCTTCTGTGTAAAGTGTCCTTCTTTAAAGATTGTTGCTGTTAGATGATGGCAGCTGACCATGACTCGTAGTGACCCTCTGAACCACAAATGGAAGCTTTGGCCCATCCTCCAACCCCCCCATGGTCTCTGCCATGCTCAAACCCATCGTCGTCACGGTCATTCCGTCTCGTTGAGGGTCTTCCTCTCTGTCTCTGATCCTCCCCCTTTCCCAGCAGGATGTCTTTCTCTGAGGGCTGCCCCCCCCCCCCCCCGCCGATACTATGCACAAAGTCTGTGAGGTGCAGTCTCACCATCCTTGCCTCTAGTTGTATTTCCTGCAGGATGTGTTTATTTGTTCTTTTGGAAGCCCGTGATACACTCACTACTGCTTGTGAACACCACAGTTCAAAGATAACAAGTCTTCTTATTGTGACATTAGCAGACTTATGGAAGAAATCAGAGAGAATGAGAGAAAGCTTAATGCAAGTTTATTAAAGGGGGGCAATAGGGGAGTTTCAGGGTGAAGTTCCTCATTCTGGGGATGCAGAATGGGGAAGTGACACTGTGAACTTAATGGGGAGGGTTTTTATAACAGAGCCTTTAGGGAGGGACATTCCACTCTGATTCACGACCCACCTGCTAGCTCAGCCAGGCAGGCAAGGCCGTTTGCTCTTCTTACCAGCAGGCAAGGCTGTCAGCGTTTGAATTCTGAATGCGTCATTCTTCTCTTAGGCCCCCTTTGTCCAAACTTAACACTTACGTCTTCTTTACTCTTTGCCCAACTTCATCTGCGTGCCGAACAACTGGAAATGCCATGACTTGGATGAGGTATGCCTCCTTCTTTGGAAGCCCATTGAGGCAGTTCCACTCTGCCTTGTAGTGGATTCTACGAATTAGAACCCACTGAACTACAGTGTGCAAAGGTTGTTATTTAGAGTCCAAATTTCATATATTTACTTCCTCTTTCTTTTACGGTTGTTCTTTTCTGTGTGATTCACCATATACTGTTTTGCCCAACATCCTCCCAACTTTTTTCTCTTAACATCCAGCATAAGTAAGTAATAAGTGATCTTAAATCTAGGTTAGCTTCAGGCCAAATTTGACTTTAAAAAATTATTATTCCATAGCTACATGCTTTCAGTTACATGTTATCAGTGTTTGACCATAGAACCGGCAAAGCTTAATTGTTCATTCCCCAAGTGGGCTAACTACAAAACCTACCAGTTGTGTATGTGGTGGGTGTTATGGGGGATGGAAAAAGGAATCACTGAGGTGTTCGTATCAGAGGAGTTTTATATAGGCTGAGAACTGGGCTTTCTATTTTCAGGCACACAGCAACACCCATAGAGAACATTGTCTAGCATTTTCCATCTTGATCATGGCAGCTCTCGCAGTAACCCTGATTCATGCTTGCACTGAAGTCGTGATCAGTTCGCTCTTTTCCATGTTGACTGCCTCCTGACCGTGTCCTGTCTGGATCTCTTTGCTTCTAGAGGAAGATCGGTGTAAACTCTACTGCAAAGCTGAGAACTTTGAGTTCTTTTTTGCAATGTCTGGCAAGGTGAAAGATGGAACGCCCTGCTCCCCGAACAAGAATGATGTTTGTATTGATGGGATTTGCGAAGTAAGAGAATATTTCTAGTATCAAATGTGTGTACCTTGAGAAATGTTGCAAGAGATTGTGCATTTGAGAAAAGCAGACAGTGTAGGGGGGAAAAAAAGCAAACTCTACAATCAGGGTCAGAACACCATCCCCAAATCCCACACTTGCCTTCCACATGATCCCTGCCCACCTTTTCCACTGTTTTCTCTTTCACTCCATTCTACACTTATAGAATGAAGACAGCTGTGGAGTCCTATCAGACTCATCACTGACCCTCTGTAGGATTTCCGAGGTTACAAGTTCTCACTGAGGAGATTGCCCATCTTTCTCCCCAGTAGCTGCTCATAGATTGAAACCACCAGGGACCGGTGTACACTTTGGGGAGTGCAGCTCCCCACAGACTGTGCCACCAGTTGTAAAAATTCAATTACTAATTGTAAACATTTATTAAAAGTTTGCTAAGTAGATTCATAATATCATTAGAAGCTTGCAAAGGAGTTTGAAAAGCACTGCTATTTATTTCTAATATTTTTTACCTTCTTATTCGATACTCAACCCTTTGCCCTCCCCTTCTCTTAATTTTTTGTTGTAATTTGAATGAGAATTTACAAAACTGATTAATTTTCTATTCAACCATTCATACACATTTCATTTCATGGCACAGATTGTATGTAATCCATCCAATGTAGCAGCACTTTCCCCAGTCCCTCCTTGTGTATCCTCTTCCCATTCATTCTCTGTACTGCCCCTTCCTTCCTCTGAGCTTTCTCCCTGGGCCAGTGCTGCCCTTTGTTTTTGTGTGGTTGATTTTTCTAAGGAGTACAGTTCTCCCTGGTGTTACTGATCATGTTCTAGATCTGTCTTTGTTAAGCTAAAGGTTGACTCAAGTGATGAATTCTAGGCTAGAAGGGAGCCTGCTGCCCCTTTTATTTTAGTGTTTGTGAACTCTTTGATTATTTAAAATCTATATTCATGTGTATGTTCATTTTACACACACATTTTATGTATTCAGCGGTACAATTGGCCTGACTTTGTTCCATTGCCTTTAATAGTGCAGGTGGCCCTCTGACCCACATTTTATAGATGAAGAGTTGAAGTCCCATATATTATTTAATGCATGTCTCCCCGTCACACATACAGAGCAAGGGTCTGAATCACCATCAGTAGAACCCAAGACTGTGCTTTACCCACAAGGTTATGCTGCCTCCTGCCTGTTCTAGAAACGTGTCGTTGCCTTTGCTTTCTCAGACCTTAGATTGTTCTCAATTTTTCCCTCCAATTGTAGCCAGTGGGATGTGATCACGAACTTGGCTCCAAAGCAGCCTTGGACGCATGCGGTGTTTGCAAAGGAGATAATTCAACCTGCAAGTTTTACAAAGGTCTGTTCCTCAGCCAGCATAAAGCCAACGGTAAGAGATGTTGCGTCTCCCTGCTCTCTGCTGTTGACGGGGCTCTCGTTTTGCTTCTGAACAAGCCTGAGCGTGCTTTGAGACAGAGCCTTGCACTAACCCATCTGCCCTGGGTTGAGGGTGCAGGGCCCTGGGGCAGCAGCCAGGGTGGATAGACAGGTTTCACAGGGCAGGGTCTGTCCATACTCAAACAGCTGAAAATGGATTTCAAAAATGTCTTTCTGATTTCTAGGTTTTGCTGGCCAGGCTGTCAGTTACCCGTAATACACTTGTTAAACAAAGAGCTTATTATACACTCTAGACAATCAAACTCACAACATTGAATGAATGCATAGAGGAGGAAATAATCTAAACAGCTTGAGTAAGGCTCAGCTTTTGAGCCTTGTTTTCAGAATTTCTCTTTCGAAGATATGTGACTGTCAAGCGTTTAAATCTTTTTAAAAATACCCACATATGTATACTTTAAAAATACCCACGTATGTACACTCTCTCACTGCTACTGAGTTGGAACTGACATATAGCTAATGCTTCTGCAGGTTTTCAGAGGCTGTACATCACATGGAAAGATTTGTTGATCTTGCTCTTGCAGAGTTGCTAGTGAATACACACTCACACACACACACATAGTCATACATAAATATATATACATATGTATACATTTATATCTACAAAGTCAAAAAAAGAAAAATCCTTGCCCCTAGACCAATAGGCAACATCATGATATATGGAGAAAAGATTGAAACTGTCAATGACTTCATCTTATTTGAATCCACAGCAATCATGACATGAGGAGACATATTACACTGGGGAAAGTCTGCAGTCAGGGGCCTCTCCAAATTACCAGAGGACTAAGGTGTACTTGATTCAGGCCATAGTCTTTTCAGTCACTTGCTCTGTATTTGAGAGATGGACAATGAATAGAAACGACAAAAGAAGAATTGATGCCTTTGAGCTGTGGTGTAGGAAAAGAGTACAGAGTATCCCATGGACTGCAAAAAGAACAAACAGATATGTTTTGGAGAAGGTGTAGTCAGAGTGGTCCTTGGAGGCAAAAATGATTGGGCTTTATCTTGCATACTTTGGGCACATTGCTAGGAGAAGCTGTTTGTTGGAGAGGGTCATCATGCTTGGAAAGGTGGAGGGGCAATGAAAGAGAGGAAGGCCCTCAACCAGGTGGACCCTCACGATGACTGCAGCAAAGGGCTTGAGTGTGTCTGAGATTGTTTCATAGGATCGCTGTAAGTTATACTCAACTCCATGGCATCTAACAACAACATGTATACAAACACACATATATTAATACACATATACTCACGTACAAACATGTATACTCACCTACATATTTATACCCACATACACATATAAATATGTACTCACACAATATATAATCAATAAATGTACAACTGTGCATACATGCATATATGTACATACATACATACATTCACGCAGACTACTCAACTCATAGCTTACCCTTCAGTGGATTTCCAAGACTGTAAATCTCATAAGAAGAGATTGCCCATCTTTCTCCCAAGAAGCTTATAGTGGATTTGAACCAGCAGAGAGGGAAGGCTTTGGGTATTAGCTCAACTTTCTACAGACTCTGCCACCAGAGCTGTATGTGTATATACAGACACAAATTTTATATATAAATGAATATTTTATGTATATATATCCAGATCCATATATATCTCTCCATATATATATATAATATCCATATATATCTCCATATAGAAATATCTCTCCATATCTATCTCTCTATATATCTATATAATCTATATATATCTCCATATATATGTATCTCCATATATCTCTCTATCTATCTTTATATGGATAGTTCTGATTTTCAGTGTATTTGAGTCACAAGAATTTGCGCTTACTAAAATCCAGTTTTTTATTGGTTTTTGTTCTATCATTAGTGGTATGTATTGTACTAATACATATCTATTGCTATAATATATGTGCGCTACATAAAATTTTTTTTTAATTTAGGTTGTTTATTTTTCATTTCAATGAACATCTACAGAGATTTTGGGATTCCATTCATTCATTGTTGCACCTTTTTCCCCGCACAAATCCCTCCCCCCTCCCCCCCCATTTGCTCCTCTCCTTGAAACGCAAAAGAAAAACTCCCTCATTGGTACACAATCCCCACCCCACACCTCCCCAAACCCCACCCCCTAGCCCCAAATATAATCCACTCTACAACCCTCATTGCATACTCCTACGATAAAAATAATGCCCTAAAATATAATACTTTTAGACTATATATAATTTTACAACACATAATTTCCTGGGGCGGTCATGTTCTTGCCAACTCCCCAAAACAAAGATTGGATTTAAAAAGATAATTTAATAAAAGACACTAACAATGAAAACTTAATAATAATTTAACAATAAATACATCAGAACAGACTTAACAAGGAATGGAACCCCCTGGTTGAATCAAGAACTACTTATATCAAGTTTTTCAGCTTTTGGGGCCTGTTTGTCTGGGAAGGAGAAGAATATTTCTTGAATGATGGTAAGAGGTAGGAATACCATCTGGTATTTTTTCTATTTTCTGGTATATTTTCTATTTCTGATGTTCCATCCAGTTCTGAAGTTAAATCAATGGTAATTTTTGCTTCATAGAGTGGAACAGAGTCTCAGGTAATGTCTCAAAGGCCCACCATCTAGAAGTGAGCAGGGTGCTTTGCTGGGCACTTCTTGTCACATTTGTCCAGCACAAAATGTGGAAAACAGGGCTGTTTGATTCTTTCTTTTAGAATATTACCCGATGGTCACCATCCCAGCAGGGGCCCAAAGCATTGAAATCCAGGAGCTGCAGCCTTCTTCCAGCTACCTCGCCGTTCGCAACCTCAGTCAGAAGTATTACCTCACAGGGGGCTGGAGAGTCGACTGGCCTGGAGAATTCACCTTCGCTGGGACCACATTTGAGTACCAGCGTCCCTACAACCGCCCAGAACGTCTGTACGCACCAGGACCCACCAATGAGACTCTGGTCTTTGAGGTAAGGCCTTTTGAATTGTTCCGTGTTCAATGCTTCTTGCTAAAATTATAATAATGAAATCTAGTGTAAAGCAGGTCAGGTCTTCCCAGTCAAATATGCAAAGGGAAGAAGAAGGAATACAACTCTGTTACTAGGGAAAGAGGAAGAAGGTAATGGAATTCCCACTGACTTCTACATTGAGATGCCAACCTTTGACCATTGCACTCAAGTCTTACTGTCAAAATATAACTTTGTGATTGTTGTAGTTAGGTACTGTTGAGTCTGCGCCAACCTTTAGTGTCCCTCTGTATGTAATAGGACAGAATACTGACCAGTTGTGTACCATCCTCAAGTTTGTTTATTACTGAACAATAGTATCAAAAAGTCTATGAAAGAATTCTAACCAAAAGGGGGGAAATAAATGGAATTTCAAAATCTAATGGACTCAGTATTTTCTAGAATAAAGAAGGCTAGCTGAACTCTTAAAATTACCTTGAGGTAATCTTATAAAATTAAACCGAAGACTTATCTCCTCAAATCTTCTTAAAACAAAACAAAAAAAAATAATTTAGCTTAATGAATTTTTTTACAGTCTACCTTAAATAATATACTCCTTTAAGTACTATTTATATGGAATCAAAGTGACAGCAGCAGTTTAGATAAGAACTTTGAAGAAGAGAAGTTTGATAATAGAAGAGGAACAATTCAAAGAGGATAAGAATGGTTGCACAACTCAAAGAACATAATCGGTGTTTCTGGACTGTATGTGTGGAAAACTGTTGGATTGGTGTATGTTCAGCTGTTACAGGATCAGAATAACAGTCAACATATGTTGCTGTTAGGTGTCATTGAGTTGACCATGACTCTTAACAACCCTGTAAACAACAACAGATGGAAAGCTTACCCTATCCAGCATCCCCCTATGATCTCCATCATGCTTAAGCAAGCCCATTGCCGTAGTCATTGTGTCTGTCCATCTCACTGATGGCTGAGCTCATTCAAGATCTATGTATCAATGAGAGATAGAGATGATAGATAGACAGATACATACATACATACATACATACGTACATACATACATACATACATACATACGTACGTAGATGATAGACAGATAGAGTTGATTGTTGTAGTTGGTGTTCGTAGGTATCACTGACTATGACTCAAAGCAGTTCTGTGAATAACGGATCTGAACCTTGACCTGTCCTGTGCTATCCTCATCATCTCTGACATACTTGAGGCCATTGATAGAGTCATCGTGTCAATCTGTCCTGTTGAGGCTCTTCCTTTCTTTTGCTGACCCTCTGCCTGTTCAAGTATGCTGTCTTTGTCCAAGGACTGGCACTTCCTCACAACATGCCCAAAGCGTATGAGGCAAAGTTTCACCACCTTGTTTCTAAGGAGCACTGTGGTGGCACTTTCTCCAAGATTTGTTTGTTCTTTTGGAAGTCCATTGGATATTGACTACTGTTCTCCAGCACCACAGCTCAAAGGCATTGATTCTTCTTCTTCTGTCATTCTTAATCATTAGCCAACTTTCAGAGATGCATAGGATATAATTGGAAAGTCCATAACTTGGGTCCGGCACACTTTAGTTTGTAAGTCGCCATTGTTGTTGTTCTTTAGCACTTTGGATTAATTTATTTACATGTTCATTCTAATATTAAAATAGGTATCTTAAATATTAAAGTGAACACACAAGTAAATTTGTATTTTTAAAATGTACATCTATTTTAAATAATGGCACGAACATATAAATAAATTGCTCCAAACATAGAACAAGGGATCGTGCTTAGATCTCAGTTTCTTTGATACCTTGCTTCTTGGGAGTAGCCAAATAAATGTCATGTCGAGAATATGCCTTGTGAAGAAACAGCTGAGCCCAGTAGACACCCTCAAAAGAGGAACCCACTACTTGCATGGAGAGACTTGCTCCTGTCTGGAAACATGACCCTCCAGGTGTCTTGGGACGCTGTGTGTACATGCACACCTTTCATCGCCCTGCTGTCCTGTCGTGTGGTTTTGCCCTGCACCTGCACACCCACAGACAGGAGAATGGAAACATCTTTCTCCAGGGCTGTGGGATGGCATCCTCACATCGTCTCCACGATTTCTTCAATAGTATTTTCTTCCTTCCAGATTTGAAGGTATTACAAACTGTCCAGATTCCATTCCCAAAAACAAATACAGCTTCCTACTCTTGGCTAATATTTCCTTGGTGAAATTCAACACCATCTCCTGAGGCAACCAGAGGAGTTTGCCGAGTGTCAGCTGCACAGTCTCCAGACCATGCAATCCCGTCGTTAGGTTTCTGAAGCTCAGTGCTTCCTTTGATGTCCGGGGCATCACAGATGATATGCATTTTTTTCCCAGGTCAATCTAAGGTGGTACAAAATGAAGAGTCACTGTCCACATAAAGGACTATAAGAGACAGATCAAAAAAGAAAAGAAGAAGCATATGGAATTTGTGTTTGCTAGTCAGATGTTTTCTGCATGTTGTATGAACAAGACTATTAACTACCTAGGAAACTGGAATAAATTTAATAAACCCCATATAATCTCTGTAGAATGGGCAAAGAATGTTATTGAGCTAACGTTGTCAGTCTAGAGACTAAGGTACACCTGATTCAGGCCATGGTCTTCTCAGTTGGTTGGTATGTGTCTGAGAGCTGGACAGTGACTAAGGATGACAGAAGAATCGATGCCTTTGAGCTGTGGTGCTGGAGAAGAGTATTGAACATACTGAGGACTGTCCTGAGAGGGTGAAACCAGGTTGTTCCTCGGAGGCAAGGATTTTGAAATTCCGTCTGACATACTCTGGGCATGTTGTCAGGAGGGACCAGTCCTTGGAGAAGGACATCATATTTGGAAGGGTAGAGTGTTAGTGCAGGAGTGGAAGACCACGGAATAAGGTGGTTTGACACAATGACTGTGGCAGTGGAGGCAGGTGTATCAGTGACAGTGAGATTGGCTCAGGATAGACTAGGGTTCAGGACTATTGTTCATGGGCTTGCTATGAGTCGGACTTGACTTGATGGCACATAGCAGCAACAACAGCATAAAGACTTTGATCTTTAGGGGAGCTTTGGTGGCATAGTCCATAGACAGTCACACTGCTAACTCAAAGTTGATGTCTCTCTGGCTGTTCAAACCCACCAGTGTAGTTCTGCAGGACATATACTAACAATCTTCTCTTTCATGATTTACAGCCTCCAGAAACCCCCTGGAGAGTCAACTATGAGTTGGTTCCAACTTGTAGTATATAAATGATAAGTTAGTTAGGTGCCATTAAGTTGACTACAACTCATAGTACACAGTAGAACAACAATATAGATTGTGAAACCTCATCTCATGTACACTGGGCAAGTTGTCAGGAAGGACCAATCCCTGGTAAAAAACACATAATGCTGGGAAAAATGGAAGGACAGTGAAAGAGAGGAAGACCTTCAATGCGAAGGGCTGACACAGTGACTTCAGCAGTGGACTTGACCTTGGCAGAGACTGAGGGTGTTGTAGGATAGGACAAGGTTTCATCTGTTGTTCATAGGGCCGCTCATCAACATGTAACAACTGTGTAATTGACTAAGAGCTATGATATCATCTCTTAATAATAACAGAATTATAGCTTTACCAGTAGGGGAAGGCCACATTTGCTTGTCTATTGTTTTTCAAAGTCTTTATGTAGTTAGTCTACTTAGAGATTCTAGGAAAGCTTTAATTAATGTCTTGGGAATGTGACCTGTCTGAAAGCAATCTAGAAGGAAGCTTGTATGATTAATTGGACATTCCTGGCTTGTATTTTTACAGGAGGGGTTATGGCTTCGTTCAGAACTTGCAAATACGTCTGAAGCTAAGAAAATAAAATCCAGTAACTTAGTATTATGCCTATTTTATCTTTTAAAAGAATTTAGGTTAATGACTTGAATATTTAAATTACACTTTCTTGTTCTCCGGAGAACATCTTCGGTTTTCTGGCCAGTGTTTATCATACATTCGTACTTTTCAAGAAAATTGTTGCAATAGAGTGATTTTAAAAGCTTAAATAAATCATTTTCACCCTAAAAAACTAGACTATTAATATCCCTGCCTGAATTCTTTTGAAAAAGTTAAAGTTTGTAATCCCTTTCCTTGCGACAAGTATGAATTGAACCAAAATGAGTACTTTGGAAGCCAAAAATATGTTCACTCCAATATAAAAATACTGAATGTGTTTTACAGTCCTTGGGGATACTCAAATCAAAGTGTGGGAACCTACTCGAATGAGAAATTCTACTCTATCCACAGAAAGTAGACGTCTTTACTTTCTCCTCTGACCACTTAAAATTACTGCATGTTCACCAGCTTCTTATTATAGATTAAACTCCAGGAAAAGGGTACGCTCACCAAAGCACACATAAAGATGGCAGTTTCTCTCTTTTTCTCTTGTTTATTTTATATTGCATCAGCTCCTTCAATTTTGGCTAGTTCTATCCTCACCTTCTTGGTGTGAATGATTACTTAGATTTCAAAAGTATTTTTGTCTACTCATATCCTCTGAACACCTGATTAAAAAAAAACAAACAAAAACAACCCAAAACTCAACCAGATTTGGTGCTGGAGAATGGAGATAGTAATGATTAAAGGGAAAACTCAAACTTTAGAGTTTTAGGTCTTTTGAAATTGTAAAGAGTACGTTTGAGTAGATTAAACCCTTTTGTTTTGAAGATGGTATGAGTTGGAACAGGGAGCTTATGTATAATTAGATGGAGATGAGCATTTACTGTTGAAGATCAAAGACTAGCCTTCAATATGATTGGACCTCCACATAAAGAAACTTCCTCACCACTGGACCAACATCATGATAAATGGAGAGAAGAATGACATTGTCAAGAATCTCATTTTACTTGGCTCCACAATCAATATTTATGAAAACAGCAATCCAGAAATCCAGGGGTAACTTGCCCTGAGCCGATCTGTTTCAAAAAAGCCCTTTAAAATGTTAAACAAAAGATGCATCTCGAGAACTAGCATGTGCCTACCTA